GGGGGGGGGGGGGGGAAATCGTTACGAATAACGCGAAAATGTATTTTCAAACGAATACTGTACGGCTCGCAGAGACCGGAGACGCGACCGGCGAATTCGGTACACTCGTATGTAGGTAGTGTATATATATATATACAAAATGAACGTAAGTATACGTGAAATATATATATATATATATATGTATGTATATTATGTACAAATTCTCAAGGCCGATTAACCTTGTCGAATTCTCAAAGGATTCTCCGCCGTCGGCTATTAAGACGTCGCGGGCATTCGAATCGCGTACTATTATTATTATTATTATTATTATTATTATTATTATTATTATTCGTATATGTTATACGCTTATACATATTATGTACACACGCACACACGTATATATAATCGCAAGCGCCGGAAGGGGTGGGGGACAAGTGGTGCTCACTTTGTAATTCAAAAAATGGGTTTTTTTTTTCTCACAAAATACCCGCGCCACCCGTCACCACCGCCGCCCACATCCCCAGTAGGTACGTAATGGCATGTACCCGTAATACGCGCGCGTAGGTACACACGTCGGAATCGGCTTTCGCGTGTCTGTGCGCGCCGCTCGGTTTTCTCCTCCGGTACGCTTTTCCATACTTTACGTACATCCGACGCGTATTGATATTACGCGCGCGCGCCCGTAGACACAGACGCACACGCACACTCACACACACGCGCGCGGGCACACATAAACGCGCGTAGTCATTTTTTCTCCTCTCGTCCTCCCATTCGCTCACTCTCACTCTCTCTCTCTCTCTTCATCCCTCGGGGCCGGGCCAGTCGACCCGAGAATATAATAAGTCTATATACTATTTATATATATATACAAAACCGTTTTATGAATATTTCATACTCGCTCTCTCTCACTCTCTCTCACTCTCTCTCTCTCTCTCTCTCTCTCTCTCTCTTTCTCAGTATCTGCGTCGTCATTTTTACCGTTTGCGCGGCAATAAGAAGCTACGGACGGACGACGTATAGGTAGGCACACCCGTACCGCGTGTATAGAAACGTGCGTGTATAGTGTACAGTACACACTCGCTCAAAGGAAAGAAAAGAGCAGAAGAAAAAAAATAGAATAGAAACGGACGGTGTGTGGAAAACGGCGGCGGCACAACGGGACCGCGGTCGCGAGGGGCGAAATTATTATTATACCGGCGCTCGTACGTATACATAGGTATTATACGTATTGCGGCCGCGATATAATTTTATTGAGATTTCCGAGTCGGAGGACGGATAGTGTGCGCCGGACGGACAATAGAGAACGGATACAATAATAATATTATTACTATTACTATTATTATTATTATAGTTCGCGTAGAGCCACTGTATACGGTATTGTATATACCTAATGTTGTATATACAATTGCCGTTATACGTGTAAAGCATATGATTTAAAGTAGTTATATGCCCATCGGATTACACGTCACGTGCCCGTCGTAACTTTTGATGTAATCGGGACGACATTAATTTTTGATGATAACTGGGTATGCGTGATGCGCGAAGCTCGCTTGTGTGTGCGTGCGTGTGTATGTGCGTTTGAGTGTTGGAAGGGACCGATTTAAATTATTATACATAAGATTCTGCGTTTCACGCGTATGCGGTACACAGTACATCTCTGTATGTACAGGCAAAGGCGTATTTAGGGGGGAGGGCAGGTAAGGGGTCTTTGGCTCTGGGCGAAAAACCTTTACGGAGACTTGCGTTTTGATTTATGGTATTTGACTGATAAAAAAAAAAAAAAAAATAAATAGGTAATAGTAATACATATAATACAATTATTATTATTGTGGTCATCGTTTGTAACAAAAATACACGCATTGACAATATATACCAGGACACAGAAAAGAATAATGATTTGAGAAATTACCGCGTTTATGTACTCGTAGATAATTGTAAATAATATACGTATATCAGCTGTAGATCTTTAATCTTGATAAGAAATTGTTGTTGCTACTTAACACTTCATCATAGGTCAATACTCAGCGGCGCAAATAGAGGAATGCAGGGAATGCTGTTGCATTAGTGGCCTTATACTGCCTTTCCAGTTATTTTCCGTTTACTGTTTTTTTTTTTTCATTAGTGAAAATATTTACGCGTTGAAAAAAATAATACTCCAAATAATGTCTTGTTTTACATTATATTTACGAGTATCATTTTGATCAATGATTACATCCCAGATAGCAAAAATATATTTTATTGAGATTTATAAAATGTTTTACTTTTCCATATTTTTTATTTAAATAATATTTGGAACATATTTATAAAATAACGGTTGGCCACGGGATTTTCGTTTATTAAATAATTTAAAAATATTTTTTTAACATTTTTTTTTAATAAGAAAAAATAAAAAAATTCGGAATTTTGTAATTTTTTACAAGTCGGGTATTGAACCTGAGACCCTGCCCAATTTAATCTATCGCCCTATCCACTAGACTACTTATTTAATTTCTAAGAAGTGTATTTTATGACTATATAAGTAAATTTCAAAATATTATAATATAGTTACCTATCTATACAGTGACATCTCGAAATTGCGACTTTTTGGGAACAGGAACTTTAACTTCCTCTGAATAGTGCACACCAGTGTCCAGGGGGCGGTAGAGGGGGTGGGGTACGTGTCCCCTTTTTTTGTTTATTTATTTGTATTTTATCGTTCAACAAAATATGATAACTTATATAAAAATAATAAGTGCTCCCTCATTAAAAAAAAAAAAAATCGGCTCCGATACTCTATAATATAATATAATATAATGACCACACACAATAATAATACAAATTTAATTTAACTGCCAATTACATTACAAATTATGTGTTCTTTGGTTTATGTTATTTTTATATATGTAGATGATAAGTAAATCTCGATCGACACATGGTCTTGACGTACTTTTAATCGTACTAATATTTGTGTTTATAATCACACATTTTTTCAATTTAGCGATTTATGAGATGTATATTCAATCGATCGCTAGCAACACTCGGCCTGCACTCGGAAAACTCTAAAAATGCCATTATTACATTATTATAACGCGTTTTCGTGTTAAATGTTCCGTCTAGATATATAAGTCTATGTTTATAACGGACGTGGAAAATAATATTTTTTTAACGGATATCAAACATTATAAAATGTATTATGACTTTTATTCTGATTACAACATACCCACGAAAAAGCATCAAACGTCTATGTCGACATCAACGGGAAGCCGCACTCAATATTGGTTGGTGTTTAAGTTAAGTAATATGTAGAAACAAAACTTGCTAGATACAGTTCTGTATATATATATATAAAAAAAAAAAATATTAATTATAAGTAGGTAATATAAAGTTTTGGATAATAGTTGATTGGTCACGGTGTTCTATAACGGTTTATACCAATCTACTAATAATACTGATATAGTTGAAGAATCTTCTATTAAAGTTTTCGTATCAATATACGGTTCGTGAAAAAATGATGATTTTAGCGAATAATAGGATTACATAGACTTTAATATAAACTTCATTAAAGTAGTTCTACTGTTTAAATGGTTTTCAAAACTAAGACGTGTTCTCGGCCGCGTCTAAAGTTTCAAATTATCTGCCTTGAGTATTGTTTTCAAAGAGCTAACTAAAACAAATACAATTGAAGAAGACAAACAATAATACTGAAATATTTAAATAAACTACATAATATCGAGTTTTAATAATACATTAAATGAACAATACTAAATGATGATATGATATTGTCATCTTGTAAATTAATTTAATACATATTCATATAATATTTAAATCGTTTCGTTATAAAGAATACGCATGTAGTTATTAGATATATTTTGTAACGTAATTGTGATAACGTCATTCCTTTAATTCAATTCAAAATTTAAGAAATTGATTTCTGTTATACTTGATATTCTATAAGTTTTAGGTTTTAAATTCTCAGTGAAACGAGGAATCGTATTGGTTTTCCTATGATGTGTATTTTGTTTGTTTTGTGAACGATTTTTTTTGTGTCTTTATAAACGCATTTTCTACCAGAAATATTGTATTAGTCAAATCCGTTATAAGAACTTTCTAGTAGAATTTTTGATTTAGTTATGGTGCATTTATATAGAATTATTTTGATTTTCTCTGAAGTTTTCTTAATAAATGAGAAAAACTGGTAATTTATTGTTTAATTTTTGATGAATTCTCGAACAAGGGAAGAATATGATTAATAATACTCTGTTCAGAATCGTTTTTCATTAGCTATGGTTTATCGTTGCTTTCAGATATAAATAAAATTATTTCATACATTGTGCTTTTTTCCAACTTCCCTCCAAAAACAGTGGCACATCCATCAGCAGTTTTTTTTGTCACATCAGAAAAAAATCTACAAAGGTAGTTGAATAAACTGCAATATAAAAACAATTAAATTATTCAACTAAAAAGTAGTTGTATTCGTATAAACTACACAGTGCTGATTCGGGCAGCTATAGTATCGATT